GACCGGATTTGAAGTATCCCATTGAAATTAAATGACAATTCTTCAAGTCATAACCCGCAAAAGCCACCTTTCTGCTGTTCAGTTGAAAGATGGAGTATGCTTTGTTTAACTACTTCAACCAATCCATATTCTTTTGCTAATACTGCAGCTTTAAACTTGAAATACAAACGATGCACCTAATCGGCCATTTTCAGTTTAACGTATGAATGACAAGCAATGCCACGTCCAAGTATAAGAAGAGCTTTCTAAGCATTACCAAAAGGCAGATAAATAGAGGGGGGTGTGTATCTTGGTGCAGTGGTTTGGTTTTTTGTTGGGTGTGGGTTTTTTTCTGTTTTATTTTTTTGTTTGTTTGCTTTTTTAACTACAGTTTGCTAAAGCAGCTTGTCTGGAACATGAGCAATCACCAGACTAAATCAGCACACATGCTGGCTCTGGCTGGCCAGAGCAAGTTATTCTGGCCCAAGCCTTGTTCTGTGCTGCCCTCAAGGACACCACAAATCCACCCATCATCAGCTTACTAGATGCAACCAAATATGAACATCCAGTCACGTAATCAGATATATCCTTCCTCTCTTGTGTCACACCTAGCTGCTCTCCCACCCACAAAAACATTGTGTTTCATTTACAGGTCTAATGGAAAAATAATCCTTTCAGATTACCCTCCCCACCCTTCTGAATTAGGAAGCCGAATCAACTCATTTTGCAGCCATGCTGTTACTAGATAAGATGCAGGTAGGAAAGCATCCCTGGCAGCAAGACAGAGGCAAGGTGGAAAGTAAGTCACTCTGCATCACTCATTAGATGCTTTGTGAAACTGTGTCCTTGATTACTCATGCAATGGAGAGACAGGGCAGCATAGAGTGTTTTATCCTTCCAGAAGAGACAGCTATTTCATCCTACTTGTATTATTTGACACCAGTCACCTCAACCTTCTCCACAAAACTTACCCCTCTCCCCCATACATCTTTTAAAGGAAAAAATAGCAGTTCTTATCTAGAATAATTATAATAGTAAATAGTATCATCAAGTATGTGTATTACAACAGGGCAGTAAGAATATAGATCACAGTCTACACATTTCTGTCAGAACATACGAGGCGTGTCCCAAGAATCTCTCTTGAGAAACTATCTACAGTCTTGCTCAGGGCACAGGCCCATATCCCTTTAGCAACAACAAAGTGAACTCATTGGCCACATCTTAGAAAGGCAAAGAGGAAAGAAAGGAATAGACTCTGTCAAGCTATAGGAGCCACGAAATTTGGCAGAAATTTGAACAGGGTTGTATGAACTGCAGGTAAATTCCTGTATCTCCCCCACTGCTTTGAACATTGTTCTTACACATGTAAAAGCTAAAATGTTTCCTTTTTAGGTATTTAAAGTGCTTATTTACTATTACCTATTTTCTTGAAAGTGAAAGGACAGATCCTGTTGGTAAGCAACTTGGTTGCACAGCTGGTGTCAGCAACAGAGACTAGTCTCTTACAAACATGGGACTGGCTTTCATATCAAGGACTGATTTCTAGGAAAAGGTGGGATCCACTTGACCAAGCACAACAAAAACATCTTTGCCAACTGGCTGACCAAAAGCAGAGCTGAAGTGTCTTTGCCAACAGGCTGGCCAAGACAGCAAGGTATGAGCAATTCAGGAAGTTTATGGAATGTATTGATGCTAACGTAAGATGAGTGACTGAGGACCCAACAAGGGAACCTTCTAGATCTCATACTTACAAACAAGGAAGAGCTGGTCAGAGATGTGAAGGTCAGGGGCAGCCTTGGCTGCAGTGACTGTGCATGGTGGAATTCAAGATCCTGTGAAGAAAGAGCAGGGCAAAAAGCAGGATCACAACCCCAGATTTCAGGAGAGCAGACTTTGGCAGGTTCAGGAGGATCCCATGTGATATGACCCTGGAGAGAAGAGGGGCAGAGGAGGGCTGGTTGATTTTCAAGGATCACCTCCACCAAGCTCAAGATTAGTGCACCCTGATGTGCAGGAAGTTGGCCAAAGGATGATGACAAGACTGTCCCTCAGCAAAGGTCATGGAACACTAAAATGGGACATTCCCAAGCTGGTGGGCCCTGATGGGGTGCACTAGGGAGTGTTAAGGGAGCTGGCTAATGACATTGCAAGGCCACTCTTGTTAATCTTTGACAGAGTGTGATGAATTGGGATGTTCCTAAGGACTAGAGGAGAATAAATATTCCTTCTATCTTCAAGCAAGGCAAGAAGAATAACTCAGGGAACTACAGGCTGGTCAACCTCACCTTGATCCCCGCTAATGCTTCTGGAAGCCCTTTCCTAACAAATAATGTAGATTGGGTGAAGGTGATTTGGAACAGTCTGCATGGATTTATGAAGGGGAAATACATCCGACCAACCTCACAGTCTTCTATGGTAGAGATGACTAGCTCTGTGGATTAGAGCAGTGGATGCTGTAGCTGTAACAAAGCTTTTGATGCTGTCTCTTGTAACATCCTCACTGACAAACTAATGAAGAAAGGGCAAGATAAGGGGACAGAGAGGTAGACTGAAATCTGGCTGAACTGCTGCACTCAAAGGGTTATGATTAGAAGCCTAAAGCCGAGGTGGAAGCCAGTGTTGGTGTACCCAGGGATTGATACTGGGGCAAGCATTGCTTAACATCTTTGTTAATGACCTAGATAACGGGACAGAGTGCACCCTCAGCAAGATTGCAGAGGATGAATGACTGGGAGGAGTAGTACACCAGATGGGTGTTCTGCCATTCAGAGGAACCCTGGCAGGGTGGAGAAACAGGCCAGCAGGTACCTCACGAAGTTCAACAGAGGGAAATGCCAATCTTGCACCTAGGACTGACTGACACCACACATCAGTAGAGGCTGGGGGCCAAACAACTGGAAGCAACTCTGCAGAGAAGGACCTTGGGGTTCTGATGAACACCAGGCTGACCATGAGCCACCAATGTTCATTTTCAGCACAGAAGGCCAACAGCTGCTTGGGCTGCATTGGGAAAAGCGTTGCCAACAGGTCAAGGGAGGTGATCCTTCCTCCTGCTCAGCCTTGGTGAGACATCTGGAATGCCAGGTTCAGTTCTGGGCTCCCTAGTAAAAGATAGACATGGACAATACTGGAGAGAGTGAAGTGAAGGACAATAAAGTTAGTCAATGGTCTGGAGCATCTGCCATTCAAGAAGAGGCCAAGAGCAGGGACAGGAGAAGAGAAGGCTCAGGGAAATCTTACCCATGTGTATGAACACCCGATGGAGGGAATAAAGAGAAGAGAAACTCTCTCACTGGTGTCCAGCGATAGGACAAGACACAATGGGTACAAACTAGAATACAAGAAGTATTGCTTAAACATAAATAAGTCCTGTAAGTCTGTATTGACTTACAGTGAGGGCATTCAAACACTGGCTTACAGAACAGGTCAAGTCTCCACCCTTGAAGACGTTTGAAACCCAATTTCACATCGCCTTAAACTGACACTGCTCTATGCAGGGAACTGGACTAGAAGATCTCCAGAGGTCCCTTCCAAATGGAATTATTCTGTTATTAAGTTTGGCAGAAGACATACTAATTTGATTCTTGGATACAGGAAGACTGCTGCATTAATAGATAGATCTAATCTGTTTTAAGGCCCTGCAGCATGCAGAGCCTGCATTCATATTTGGCTCATTTTATGTAGGTAGTCAAGAAAGTAAACTGATCATAGGAAGGCAGGTCCTGAATATTTATGCTAACACTGAATAAACATTAAGGAAAGGTGACTGATCTGGAGCTACTTCTGGAATGTGTTCAGTGCAATTTGTGGAAGAAGTTGAACCTAAGTCCACTCACCAATTCTGAGCTCTGCTACCTAGCTAGAACTGTCTTGGGTTTATGTCAAATACAATCTAAACCCATTTTATAGTCTGGATAAATTCTTGGTTGAGTACCAAAATAGTGTTTGTTCAACCAGACATACTTCCTTGCCAGCTCAAACTGAACAAGAAGATTAGGAATAACTCATGAGGTAGAAAGAACTCCCAGAATACCCCACTTACGAAGAAGCAATATACTTGCTTTATAGGCTAACACATCTACTTAAATAAACAAAACCAATAATACCAGCATAAATGAGAGCTGTATTTAAATATAATTTGAAAAAGGCTCATTTAAAGGTAATTAACTTGATTAGGAGCTAAAAAACTCTGGGCCTTTAGCCCAGAAATGAACTTATATTACTAAGCTAATCAAAACCACATCAAGACTAAAATTGACCTTCTAAACCATGGTGCTAGTAATCAGATATTCCTTATGAGTTACCCAATTAGTTACTAATCAATTTGTCATTTAATCATTTATATAGCCATAAAAAAAACCCCATCTCAGTGTGTCTCTCTGCCATTTCCTTCTCTCTCTAATCACCTATGAAGCATGAACCTCTTGCCTCCTCACAGTCAAGTTTCTTGCTATGCACCTAGATAACTGGGGTCAGGATGGGTGAATGCTGTAGGTAAATGTGTCATCTGTGGGCATGTAAAAGAAAGCCTAAAGCACAGCAATTTCACTAATTAATGGCAATAAAACCTAACTCCAAATCTGATAACCAAGACCAATTTTACAGACAGATCAGTTATTGTAGAATAGCCTATCAAGGAGAAGTATCCCTTAAGCCACTATATTCTAAATCACTCTTTCAAGGAATCTTACATTTGCTTTAACCTCCTGCATGTAACTCGATACACCAATTGCCTATAGCAGGGGTGCCTACCAAAAATTAAGTAAGTACTAGACCAGCAGCAAGAAGGACAGATTTGACAGCTGCCTACAAAGGGACACTGGCATTAACCTATGGTTGTTCTAACTGCAAGTATAAATCACTGGGCTCTTAGAGACCTCCAGCCTGATTACAAGATTGGCATACTGTGTTGACATCAAACACACTTGCAAGAGAGGTAATTATTCCATTTAGTGCTTGAATGGGACAAAATCATTCTGCTTCCATTTAAATATAAAAGCAAAAGCTTAATGGTCACATACCTCATTGCAACATTGCTGCCATCAATAACTATTGGCCTCAGGTTGTCACCATCCTCTGTCACATCCTCCTGCAGTGGAGACTCTGACCTCTGAGACTCTATGGAAGACGCTTCACGCATTACACTAGTGTTAGCATTAGCTACAGTCTGCTCAGTCTCAGTTTTATTCCCAAGTTTGACAAGTTCTCCCAAAATATCATTTATTAAAGCATCAGTACCAAGTTTATTTAGTACAAGTTGAACCTGCTCTTCAGAGTAACCCAACTTAAGTGCAAACTCCAGTTTGGTTTGATATTCTTTGACCACATCAGGGGGCTTTCTGACCTCCTTAGGTACTATCTGAGCCTCTTCTATCCTAAAGTCTTGCAAGATTTCATTTCTTTTTAGTATATGAGGCTCTAGGCAAGGAGATCGGCACACTGGTCGGTGAGTCTTAGGCAATAAATGTGATTCTGATGCAGAATTATTCAGTCTTTCTGAATCATTATCAGAATTTGTGCTTTCTTCAGAGTCACAGCTGGAACTTCCAGAAGTCTCTTCAGATGCCTCCTTGTCCACATCTTCTTTCCTAGAATTAACCTTATCCATTGTTGGCTTCTCCGCCATTGACCAGGGTACAATTGCATTTATTTGTGTGCCAGAGTTCCCCACATAAAGGTGGCCTAAGTCATGCCCTAGATGATCCTTCAAGCCCATGAAGCTGCTGCATGTACTTGACTCCACTTTGCTGTTTTTCTTGTATTCCTGAATATAAAGTGTTCCGTATTCCTAAAGAGAGAACAAAAACGTTGCAACTGGTTACACATATTACTTGTTTTGTGTTTTCTTTCTGCTTCCTCAGAACTGCATTTATTCTCTCCCAGCAGAGAAATGTGATTTATTTTCAAAAAACTTTTCCTAAGGAGCATCCATAGCTAAAGGGATAAACAACTGATCATTTTTTTCTGTATCAAGTGCTTTTACTTAAACATTTCTAGAAATGGATTTATGAAAGAATAGGAAACCAAAGACTGCAAGTTTACCTACTGTAATGCAGACAGAAGTAAGCCGCAATTTAGAGGAACCGAGATATTTCTTGTAGCTTAAGACAGTATTGTAACAATGAAAAAAAAGAATTAAACTATAAAATACAAGTACCGCAAAAGCATTTTTAACTAAACACCAACTCTGTTGAACAAAGAAGAATTAGCATAGTACTAGATCAGCTGGCTTATTAAGACATTATAACATGTAAAATGTATTAGTAACAGAAAACATGATTAAATAAAAACTTATGGCCCTAAAAGACACTAGCAGTTCAACTGAATACACTCAAAACTATCTCTGAATTCCCTTAAAGGGTGGTAATTAAGTCAAGAAAGACTAACTGCACTCAATGGAGCACTGCATTACAAACACATACAGCATTTAGAAACATGGATTGATCTAACGGCCAATAAAGCCAATGGAAGTCTTTGCACTGACTGTAACAGAACATTTGTCAAGCCAACAAGGCAACAAAATTAAAGGCTGATTTAAACTCTTGGACTAGACCTGTGCAAGCCTTTTGCTGAATCCAAACTATATAGAGAGACAAGTCATGTAGGAAGAACAGAAGAGGAAAAGTTGCCATTTTCTGAACTTCATATACTTGCCACGTCAGTTTTTCTGGAGGAATTTTGCATAATGGCAGTTATATACAGAATTTAACTACCCATTTCATCACAAGGATTACTACCACAACTTACATTTAAAGGCAGATTGCTCCCTCTCTCCCTTCTGTTCTTTTAAACAGGAATCTTTGCTAACTGCTTCAAATAAAGAAACTAAAAGATAAATGATTTTCATAGATAAAAATGGACCATATGGACCAATTGTACTGCAAGGTTACCATGAAAATGAAGAATTTACATTAAGAGAAGACTATGGAACAAAGAGTTCTTTTACACTTCCATCTTGCAAGGGAGAATATTAGAGTAAGATACAGAGTCAAAGGATTTCACTTGAACTTGACAGATATATTACAGACACAAATTTCATCAACGACAATATACTGAGAAAAAATACTATGTTAAACAGAATCTCTTGATCTATACTAATAGATTACAGGTATGTCTCAGGAACAGCCAAAATCTGTCAGGAAGTTCATTAACCCTCCCATCCCCTTTATGTTAGCATTTAAGAATGACCCAGTATTTTTAAAATACAGTGTACTTTCCTCTTCTTGGAATAAAGATCCGAGAGCGCACAAATGAGAAACTCATCCAGGGGCAAGACCAGAGAGAATCAAGCAAAGAAAATCAGTCTATGGTTCAGTAAAAGCAGACTCCATAGACACTGAGTGCCAAGGCATCACCACTGTGGTGGAGCATTTTGACTACAGGGCACAAAACCTCACTTTACCTAAGCATTTCTAGTTCAGCTAAATAAATCCATCACTAGTGTTTTCATCTCCAATACCTTAATCCAGGCAAGACGCATCAGAAAGAAAATACTTTAAAGTTTTATTTAGATCTGACCTTGTTAGAAGGCAGTAGGGCTGTAATTCATATGTAGATCAATGAATATTACTTCCTCAACTCAAAGCTTTAAGATTTCAAGTAACACCACAGATTATAAACAAGAATTTAGGAAATTAACCTTTTCACACAGTGATTCATTAACTAATGTAATGCACTTGATAGCACAGCGCTAATAGCAAATTACACCAATACCCCAATAAAAAGATACAGTTAAAAACCCAACACTGTGGCCTTCACAGCACTGACACCAACAAAAATAAAAAATTAAATAAAAAAAAATCTCAAACAAGAAATCCCTATTGGAAGCGACGCTGCTTAGCAACCAGCCTTTAGTTGCTAGGATGCGCTCCTTTAACATACCATCATGAATACTAGCACAACGAAAGAATAATTTGGTATGAACAAAAGCCCATGAAAGAGAGCGGGACTTAAGTGCGTCTGGTTTCCCCTCGGAGAACAATGCAGCTGCCAAACCGATCTGGAAGCCCCGACATCATTGTTCCACCAACCCCACAATCTGCTCTGACTCGAGGAAGTCTAGTTAATGGGCAACACACTTAAGCTGGACTGAAAAGTTGAGCTGGCTCATGTACCACCACCACAGAATACAGGGAGATAATGGGTCACTGCCTAAATCCGTGTACTGTGAAATGTCATTTTAGTACTGAAGTGAAAGTAGAGGGAGGGTTTTTTTGGAAGGGGGGAAGAGAAGGTTGCATATTAACAGCATGGAATAAACAAAGCTTGAAGTGCATAGATCAGAAAGAGGATTTTAGTTTTTTTTTTAGTGTTAGTTAAAATAATACTTAAGTCATTCTTCAGTCACTTCTTCCTTGAAGTTTAAGTGCTTTATAGCAACTGTAACTGCAACATTCTCCACCTCTGAATCCACCCAGGGATTCAAAGAAGTCACTAGCATATGAATATGTCTGAAGATCACGCATTATATGAAACATACTTTAGATGATTTGCACATCAACTGCATAGGAAAAATGACCGTAAACTGAGCTTTGTCCATTGTTCGGAATGTATACATAATCAGCCTCACAGCTATCTATTAAGTCTCCTGTCAATCTCCATCTTGAGCCAATATATAATTGCTTCTTTTGTACAGAACTCTACTGTTTTTCTGAAAGTAAAGAATAGTTATTACCCTAAAGAACAGGGTAATAAGAGCAGCAGCTTTAAAATCTGCCACAGTATACAGCCACCACACTATTGCTTTAAAAGGGTAGTTGAAATGATGTTTACACTCATAAATCCAAAGCTAAAGATTTCTGAAATAGTTTTACATGAGCAGTACACTATTCCTGGCGTCTGGCCTAAATCCTGCATCCAAGCTGCATTTATTTTCAGACAAATTTTCAGAATGTCTGTGAACTTTGTACATCATATGTATCTCTTTAAAATGCTAGACTTTGGAGCTTCTGACATGATGTCCTTTATGAGATTCATTGATTAGAACCATGAAAATCAGATGTCACTGTTGAACACTGTTGGAATTGATTATTTTATCTTGATTTGGTTAGTGAAAAGCAACATGTCAGCCAGTCTATTTGAGTTAATTTGTACCCCAAATAACCACTGGCGTACCTATATATAGGACAATGAAGCTCATGAAAACCAGAAAAGGTCATATTTATCTAAGGAGTAACATCAGATAAGAACTCCTTGCACTCTTTATTTACAAAGACTCTCATTACACACATATGGTTTTAAAGTATACAATGCAATATAGCTTAGAAAAATATCTGCTATCAATTCTGACTCAAGTGAGAGCCAAACAAACATTAAAAAAATCTGACTGGGCAGACTTCAACCAGAAAATTATTGACGAGAAAGTCTCCAACTTTTGGTTATGCTCCCACAGCCGAGTAATAGAATTTTTATTTATGAAAAAATTAACAAAACTGGTAACTCCCGATTCAGACATATGTATGACAACGTATGTTTTAAACTATATCCTATTTAAAACAATAGTACCTCACACTAGGTTCACTGTTAAAGGCCTAAAATACTGTATTACTGAGTCAAAGACATTTATCAAGTATAAATGTAATACTCTTGGTGAGCACTGTGCTACTGCATTGTAGAAATGTTATCTTTTCCCATTTCTTAGAAGTCACCATTATTTTCCACTAACCATTAATCAGACCATTAATTCACCTTTGTACAAAGCAGAAATATTTCTCAAAGGGATGTGGGCAAGTACATCATCTAATCTTTTAATATTCAGAATATTTTCCACTTATAACTGAGCACAAGAAAAGCAATTTAATGCAAATTTAGTACACAGAGGAAAACAACAAAGAGTAAAACAGTGTCATGTGGCGCAGTGTAACAGAGCTTGTGTATTCTCAAAAGACTACCAAAAGTTTCTGAAGATACATTCTACAGTGAAATAGTTCAGCCTATTTTCACACAGACTTCTTCCTGAGTCTTCTAAACACAAAATGGAAAATATTGAAATCACAGTTTGCTGAAACACTGTTGTTACTTGTCACAAATAGAAGTGCAGAGCTGATCAGAAAATAAAAAAACCTGAATGTATCTGTTATCTAAATGATAAAGATACTGCAACAATGCAAATAAAATAATGAATATGTAATAAATACCTACTGCTAGACTTCTTCCCGAGTCTTCTAAACACAAAATGGAAAATATTGAAATCACAGTTTGCTGAAACACTGTTGTTACTTGTCACAAATAGAAGTGCAGAGCTGATCAGAAAATAAAAAAACCTGAATGTATCTGTTATCTAAATGATAAAGATACTGCAACAATGCAAATAAAATAATGAATATGTAATAAATACCTACTGCTGTAGTTTCTATGTATTTAATTACCATTGTATTTCAGCGAGTGCTGTTGTCTGCATCATTCTATCCAACAAAGGAAGGATGTCCCATTGAACAGATTGGTTAATGCTCTGGGGCAACAGATGTCTACTGGAACTGCAGGAGACCAGCAACTGGTGGCCTGCCCATCTTCTGAAAACTTTCAATAGACTCATGCATATGTTCACACAATAGGGCATGTGGTAGAAATGCAAACCTCTTTTTAACCCTTTTATATGCTCTCTTTATATATGAAGGTCTTTGTTTTGTTTTTTCTTTTTTCTTTACAGGATCCTTGGAACACAGGCTCATGGAGTATACAGTGTTTGTTCTTCAGCCTAACATCTGAACTCAAAACATACGACAGATTAGAAACTTTATAAAAATAGCCAGGCTAGATCTGACACACTTAAGAATAGCTTTCAAAGCACAAAATCTTTGACTGGAACATGTTCGCATCTGACAGCATCCTCATGCTCTATTTTGCAGTACAGTATCCTCAGATAGCCTGCAATGGATCTCTTCCTATTTTCACAAACACAGGAGATTGCACACATTGTATGGTATAACGGAAAAGATGTTTGATTATTTCTTTTCTTAAAAGTTTTTTCGACCAGTCACAAATTAAAGTAAGTAATAGCTTATTCGCAAAAAAGGGTAAATACCTCTAACTTAAAGTTGAAACCTCCCTTCTCCCAGGGGGGCTTGAGGACAATTTGTTCTGTTGATGGCTATTGCCTACTATTTTCAAATTCTGGGAAATACACCATGCTTTTGAAAGTTCCTTAATAGAATACACTAGGTGAGATTATTGCTCTTTAATATACTTATGTCTTCAGGCAAAACTGGTTTTCTTTCCCTCTTTTTCCAAGAGACACCCAAAGTGTGCAAACCTCAGCCGACACACACGCTAGCTACGTTGTCCAAATGCAAACTGATATGCTGAAACACCAGAAAGGTGAAATGTCCCATTTCTGCAGAGAGAAGCCCATATACTTACGTTCGCTGGAAAACACACAGACATTGGTTTCTTGTAGCTGTTCCAGAAGCAACTCCTTAACACGATTTCAGCTGCAGACTTCAGGCAAGCGAGCAGAACAATGAATGGACGAACAGATGGACCCACGATGTCTTTGCTTAACCTATTACTGAGCGGACGTGGAGCCAATCACGACCCGCAGAGCTCACAATTAGTTGGCTGGGCAGATGCAAGGCAACCTCCCTACCCTGCATCAGGTTCGGAGGTTTCTAAGATAAGCAAGTTGATGTCATTCTCAGGGTCTGCCCCGGGCAGCATGTGTATTAACGAGGGGTGTGCAGCAACAATAGGCCATACAAAAGAGACTAGCAGGCAGCTGCTGTATGAGAGCCAGAGTCATTAGGGAGCAGGCTGCCAACAAGAAACACCTGGCTTGGGCAGACTTCAGCTTCTCCTCATTGTTTCTAATTCATGAAACAAAGAAAGGAATTATTTTTGAGTAGTAAAACTTGTGAGTTCCTATTAAAATATATCAGTCTTAAGGAATATAATCCCTTCTCTGATGGAAACAAAAAGTTCTTTGTAAGGAAAAATATGAAAGAGAAAGAAATCTATCGGCAGCTATTGTAGTTCCCTTTTCTTGTTAGCAAAATTAATCTTACTGGTATAAAGTATGAAAGGAGCCCACACTAAACACTGAAATGTATTCAGAAACCGCTTTCTGAATTTCCTGACACTTCTGTACATCAGTCAATAAATGTAATAAACTTGCATTTACACACAAGCCTAACAGAGCACTTTTGAGTAATTTCAATGGAAGGTGAAACTGATTAAAGTAAACCCACATAATATTAGTATGAGGAATAATGGATATTTTTAAGTAGCAGCATTGAAACATTAAGACATTTGACAGAAAGGAACTATGAACCACTCTTTTGTTCAGGAGTCACTAATTTATTTGCAACAGAACTTCTTTCTGTTTTATTTCACAGATCTGTTCTAGATGCCAAGATCTTCCTGTCTTTGCAATGATGAAATATTTGAACAAAAGTCAGGAGCCAGACCATAAACAGTTTTTTATTGTTTTCATTTTTAAGTAAGCTACATGGAAACACAAACTTCAGCCCACATCTCCCCTCCCTGCCCACTACTTCCACTACCACCAAGCCCTGCAACACACGCATTTAGTGATATAACAGCAGCAATGACCAAAAAAAGTGGAACAATGTGGACTTTCAAATAAAAGTTGCCACTGCTGGTAGCTTCAGTGAAGACAGCTCAGTACAGAGGAGGAGGGGACTCTACATTTGCAAATGTTCATCTGAATGACTACTAGAAAAGCATATTTACTGAACTTCAGCATCACTACATGACTACAAGCAATAGTGAGAACCACAGAGGCAGCTGTCCTCCTCTGCTTGGCAGGACAGGCAATCTGCTGGGAAACATATACAGTGATTTCAAAGAAGAAAAGAATATGAACAGGTTTGTTGGAACTGTTTTGTATAATTTCCCAAACTTTATGTGGATACTAAAGCAATTCAGCATAGTAAATGAAATCACATACCATCATGTTATTACACTGATGCATTTATCATGTGCCCAGATATTAAGCTGCAAAGCAGAAACTCCAACTGTAGTTTCTTGGCACTGTCCATTAAACACTCCTAAGAACCACTACTAATACCACTATTTTGGAGCTTTGAAGTCAGAGGCAGGAGAAGTCTCCTCACTAATTTCTGCCTCTGTGAACACAAAGAGTGAGAGAAAGCTACCTATGAGCACAGTGGGATGCCTGATCTCCAGCACTGGATTAAGCCTCTTTGCAAACAGCAAATAAAAGCAGTGATCTGAAAAAGCTAATCAGTCCCTGCTGTGGTATTTAGACTACCTCAGTTGCCGGTATTGGATAATGTTAAGCATATTAAAACTTCTGTAGGCAAAATAGGAAGCCAGTCCAGTTCACCTACATCCAAGATCTGCCCTCAAATGCAATCATGATCACTTGGCTTGTCATTAGTTGAGCCAGGTACTTCTTTTGCAATACAAGAAATGCTCGTTTTGCAGAGACATGTGTGATATGCTTTATGTGCATCTGTCACAAATTAAGAACACCGTAGCACGGAAGTGACTTATTTAGGGCTCTACAACCACAACTAGGGCAAGTGTATGATCTGGCTTAAAAATCTGCCTTAAAAATAAAGTTGTAAGAAGTTTACTTGAGAATGTCTTCTCAATGTCTTCTACAGTAACAGTAAGAACAGCTCACCCCTCCAAACAACTCTCCATACTCCAAGTGCATGTCTCCAGGGAACTAGGTCTAAACTTCAGTTGCTGATTATTGTTCATGCTAACGTTACACTGTAGCACTATGACCAAAGCTAGAACAGATATAGTCTGCAGACTTAAGTTATATTGTCTAATTTACAGAAAATATTCTAACAAGCTGTAGTTGCATTAATTAAGAAGACATTTTCTAATTCTACCTTGTGCACTATGTCAGTTACTTAAACCAGATGCCTGTTCTGGACGCATTTTCTCAGCTCTACCCTAAAAGAAGTTGGGCTCCCCAAGGTTTATAAGGTATCGGATCATCCTATTAAATCATGCTTGTGGTGACAGAAAAGCATTTGTACTAAGGTTTAACCAGTGCATGAGGCTTTCTTCTGGGAATGATGAGCTCAACAAAGAAACCTCAGTAAGAAACATTGCCTCTCCCATCACATCTGTGAGAGGCTGACTTGTCACTAGAATAGACACAGTACAAACGGACAAAGCAAATTCTACTTCTCCTGCTAAAACCTTCAAATACAGTAACCTGGCTAGTTCAGCAATCTCCTATTACGATATCTCAAATACAGTGAGTCAGTAATTTAAAACCAGTCACCAAAACACAGCAAAAGTAACAGCTCTTCAAATATCTGGTCTTGCAAGATAAGCTATAAAAAACTAGTTTAGGGTCTCCTAGAGATTGGACACTGTGTACAGTGCTCATTGGGTCCCTAATGCCACTTGATTAAATGGCACACCAGCACAAAAACCTGAAATGGCTGGAGCTCAGGGATTCCATGGGGGAAGGAGATTTCTGAATGGCACACAGCAAGGTGATGGAATGCTGCAGAGAGACATGGACATGGGTCAACCTCTCAGCTGGGCGAGGGGTGGGAAGAGCAGCATCCCCTCTCCCCATTGCCCAGTTTGGTATAAAAAGCACACATGGGAGGATCAGAAAAAACAAAGGAGGGACAGCTGGGAAATTCAGACAGTGTAGGCTGAAGATATTAGGAAAACACTACTAAAAGGGTTAAAAAAAAAAAAACACCATAAAAAAGAGCTGCTAGTTCCAGCCGACTCTCCTTATTTCAAACAAAGCCTTATTTAAAAAGAAATCATTTCATGCAAGCATACAAAATAGTCATTCTGTAACTCAAGTGGTATTATTGCAGATAAAGACAACTTGCCCCACTGAAGTCTTTCATTATCTTTTATTGTAGAACTTTATGCTAAGCCTCCAGTAATAAATGATGCATTTGCAAGAACACACTGCACAAGTTAAATCAATCACATACCACTGATTTATGAAATAGAAATGAAGGTTGGATGCGACAGACAAATCTCACTGCTGTGGCATTGCAAAATATCCTACATTTACTGTTGGACTTGGGAACTGCAAGAGAGATGCTTAACTTTAAAATTAGGAAGTGGCAATACAACAAAAATTCTTCTTTTCCAGTTAGTATGTTAAGAGACGCAAAATATTTTAAAAAGAACACTTGAAAGAAGTTTACTTAGGTTTGAGGAATAAGTGGTGCTCTAGACAGCTAAAAAACCAAAACCCACCACCACTATACAGCTGCAGAGAGCAGTGAATTAAATGACCAGTAAAAAGTACCTAGAATTCATTAAAAAATGGCTTTGTGGTAAAGATCAGTAATGCTTCGCTCAGAGACTAACTAGCCTTAAAAAAAAATATTTAAAAAGGATCAATTGTACTTTCAAACGCAGTGTAATTTCTCTGTAGGAAAATATGCACTGTCAAATGCATTGAAACACAGCAGTGAAGAGTTCTGTCACTCTTTCAAAGACTCAGTTGTCTGTAGTCATCCTTAAAATTTAAAAAAGCAGAGCTGCATTTTCCAGCAGACCGTCACCTTAAAAGGTTAGAACATCTGCATTTTCTAGTATAATCCTGTTAGATGATCAGTACTGACTGCATGCAAGACTTGAGCACTGTTGCAACATCTATGTCATCCTCTTAATACGCTTTGAAGAGGAAAACCCTAAGTTTTATCGTAAGTAGTGATTACTTTTTTGCTAACCACGGGTATAAACGGATCCAGTCCTTCCTTGCCTGTGGGTAGACAAAGGTCATGACCATGAGCTGTTCATCATAAGATGACAAGGTGCTTGCCTGCAGCTGCACCTAACTGCACAGTTTGCCTACATTAGGAGCCCAACAGCCTTGAGCCATACCAGACAACCACTCAGAAAGCATAAAGCAGCATTCTGCAACAGCAAAGCCACTGGCATTACCTGTCAGTATCACACAGAGAAACAGCTCCTCAGATAGGTTTTCTGAAGCAAAGACTTTCATTTTGAAAGTAAATAGTTTTGATCAGGAGACAAAATAAAAACATACTATGTTTACCAAAAAGAATAATGAAAACATAGTTGCCTCAGCACCATAACTTTAGATATCCATTGTAGGCATGGATCCCTAGGTAATGCTCCTTCCACGGTTCCACATAATCACTGAGGTTGGAAGAGAGGTCATCTGGACCAACTCCCCTGCTCAAGCAGGACCATGTCGAGCCAGTTGTCCAGGGCCCTATCCAGACAGCATCCGAGTATCGATAAGCATTGAGGCTCTGCAACATCCCTGGGCAACCTGTGCCAGTGCTCGGTCACTCTCACAGTAAAAAAGTCTTTCCTGATGTTCACAGTTCTGTGTTTCAGTCTGTGCCCACTGCCTCTGGTCCTGTCCCTGGACGCTAGTGAAAAGAGCCTGGTTCTGCCCTTTTTATACCCTCCCTTCAGGTATTTATATAGATGGTGTAAGATGGTAAGATTCCCCCAAGCCTTCTCTTCTCCAGGCTGAA